TTTGAGCTCTTCAATCAAAAATCTTCCTATACGTCATAAAAATTTAATACGCGTCTTTTGTGTCCTGTGATACATTAAATGCTGGCGCAAAATGGTACTTTCTCTTCTAGATTAATATCATTACAAAGTTAGATATATCAGAGTGTCTGGTTTGAGAAAAAAATGCGAGTTTTTGCTCCTGTAGGAAACACAAAGTTCTTCAAGAAATTAAGACAAAGGCTTTAGAAAACAAAATGGTGACGAAAAAATCAAGACGGCATGTTTTTTTATTTTGATTCTTGTTCGTTATTTTTGTGTATTTTCGTTTGCCCACATTCCATAAGTCAAAATTTTTGATTTTTATAAAGGTGATAAATTGCAAATTGGAGATAATCAAGCCAAAATGTTTCCAGCTCTTCAAATCTTTCTATATTGAAGATTTTTCTCAAGCACTCTTTTGGTTCAGACTTTTGAATTGTTGATGTTTTGTAATTGCAACAAATATGCATAATCTGCCGCAGTTCATCAGGATCGCCGCATTTTAATTTTTTCCCAACCAGACACTGTAGTTAGAAGTTAACTTTAACCAACGAGAGAACAATGGCAAAAACTAGCTTGTTGCTGGTGATTTATATTTCGAGAACCTGACCGAATTCATCTTGAAGTCCGGTGAAACGTTGTTGGTCGTGTTAATCAAGTCTATTTGGTCAGTGATGGATCGTTTTGGAGACGATATTGATCCGGCCGTCAGTCAAGGTTGATCTTACACTTTTACGATCCTCGATGTTTATCACTACTTGATTATTCTGTTCTGATTGATCAGTTTTTTCGTAGTTAGTCGTGGAATGTATTTGTTTACTAATTAATCAATGTTTCCTACGAAAATGCGACTTGCCAGTCGATCGAGCTCAGTTATGCGATCAAGGAAATCACAAGTCTGTCGTTCAGCTTTCCAAAGTCAGTCGTCGAAAATATTCTTTAGTAAAGGTTACCCTTTAACTCCTAAGATCTCATTAGTCTTTCCCCTTACTGTCTGCCATATGGTTCTTGTGACTTTGATTTATGTCCCAGTCAACAGTGTGATTTGTACGTCGATCATCGCGTCATCAATGTGATTGCTGACATCAAATCTTCTTAATGTTTGAGCATTTTCAGTCAATTTTAAACAGTCTTGTATTTGATCCGCTTCAGTAGGCTGATAAGATGAGCAGAGGTCATCATCAGAACCGCGTGAAGGGTTTTATGTCCGCATAATGCAAAGTCTGGTTTGTGAAAAGTGATTCGTCCACTTTTCTTTTGCGCTATTGGCTGTAAGACTTAAATACCGCTCGTCAGTTGTGATTGGTCAGTTTGATCGGTCGGCAGTGTTACGTTGCTTTGTTCTGTCTATTCATAATTGTAATGAAATGTTTTTCGCATGCAGACATCGCAATGTCTGTTCCTTGTTCATGTTTAGTCAGTGTATATCAGTAACCAATGTCAATACATGGTCATCTCTCTGAAAATGTTATGGGATAGTTCTGTAAGTGTCCTGAATGAAAGATATTGTAATAAAAATAAATGTCAGGATTCCGATCGTTTCAATTGTTTCATTTATGGTTTGGTGACTGATTCCTTCGCGCAGTATCTATGGCGCCGAATTTGTCAAGTTGTTTTTCTCGAGCACGTTTCCATATCAAACTCACAACAAGCCGAATGCAAACAAAAAAAACCCATTGTTCTCTTTTCGGTTAAAACTTATCAATCCAATGACCAGGGCAAAGGTAAGTAATCAAGGTGGCATTGTCAACTGATGCATCAGTCTAAGTGATTGCTCTTGTAATAAAAGAGTCCAATCGCAGAAAGTCCAGAGACAAAATTGTCTTCATCTTTCTTCTTCAGTGAGACCGTGGAATTACTTGCACCAAAGTAACTTTCTAGCTATCAAGATATGTTTTTCCATTCTAAGTTTTACATGGTAAGCAATTAATCCTTCTCTCTCAAATAAAATAAAAACTTCGTGAAAAGTGTTTTCTTAATTGACCAGTATTTCCACCTTAATCACACCCTTGCGGCCATAATATGTAGTGACTATAGCAACGTTGATATGGTGAATTGAGGTACTGAATTGCTTTGCATTTAGGAATTTTCGACCGAGCAGTTCGGACCAAATAACACTATCACAAGCTCGTTGTTTTTTTTATTTTTATTTATTAATGAACATCCGGATCATATCAAAAAGATTTTATTGAAATGCTTATCTTGAAATTAGGACCGAGCGCATGGGGACATAGATTGAAATCCAAAACTTTTCTTTTGTCTTAGGAACGACCGAATTATTCTAGCACGAATTGTTTATGATCGCCGAAAACGCTTTTCGATCTGCAAAACAATAAGTACCTCATAGAGCTATTTGCTCTACCTCGTTTACTCACTCTGGAATTTTTTGGCAAGGCATATAATTCACAGATCTGATCCGACACAATCAAGAGTGACTTTTTGAAAAACAAATGTGGACATTTGTTCAGTCACCAATTTACAGCTATTATTCAATAATGTAAAGTTCTTATCTTTGTAAGTCCTCTCGTCATTTCAGTGGTTCCTTTTGATCAGATATTTCTTCATCTTTATCTACTTCTAGAAGAGTTTCCTAAAACACAAATATAACATTACACTAGCTGATAAGAAAAAGGCTAAATTCGGGTAAACCGACTCTGTTCTGTAACTAACTAAGGGTACAATGCCTGATATGCAAGGAAAACAAGTTTACAAAGCTACTGTGAAAAATTTTATCAAGATGCATGAGCAACTCTACAAGCGAAGTAGAAGAAACTTATGAAAAACTCTTGCGAATTCTCCTTAAATGTAAGTCCTTCATGACACGAGATTTTAATTACTGTATGCACGTGGCCATGTCAAAGATCAAGAACGCAATCTAAGTTTCTTTAGGGGAAGATGTTTTGTAAAAATTGCCTCTCTAGTTTTTCATTGTCTATATTTTCAGTTAAAGTCATGGCTAAGATTCCTTGGCTGTAGTGCATAAAGAAACTTTTTTCTTGATCTCGAATTCGAATTTCACATGCCTACAGCCGAGTACTCGTGCACGTGGTTACTCACGAAGGTAATATTCTGATGGTCAGCTCTCGTATATTTCTACCATGGTACTGAATTTACCTTCGTTGAAGTAGAGTTTACAGATCCTTCCCTGTCGTGAAGGTTTTTCATAGGTCTTCCAAGATTAGTGCGGCTCTTTTTCAAAACCACATCATACACGTCTTCATAATTCGACGACTAACTTGGTTTGCAGTGAATTCTAAAATTTTGCATGAATATGGATTAGAAATAACAACCAATCACTGATGATTACATCACGGATGCTGGCGTTGGCACGATTTCTTACACTTTTTGTTAGCAGCCAAACAAAAAAAAGGCCCTAAAAATGGTCTATTTTCTTGTTTGCATTTTTGTGCGTTGAAGAGCCGCTAAATACAGATCCTCTTTTGCTTCAATCTTTTACGATAGTATTATAAATATTACAAAAATAAAGTTTAATACGGATAATTTTTGCAAATAAAAAAGCTGGGAAGGTAATGATAATGGAGGAATATTTTCTATTTTTTCATTCTTTGGAACATTGTTCTCTTATTGACTTGGTTAGGAAACGAAAGGGGTGAGTAAAACCCTTCCCCCCATGGAGTGACTAGCATCAAATTTCACTCTTGAATCAAACATCAGGGTCACGAGAACAAACTGAGGAAATGATCACCAACTAAGGAAGCCCTTGATTATTGGACAAATTCTCCTTGTCAGTACCTCAGGAAATTTAAAGAGAATAGTACGGAGAATATACATACTGATGTCAGGGTTCAAAGAGTTATTCAAGAAAATAAGAGGACTGTGATTATTGCAATGAAAATATTTAAAATCACGTTTGTAAACGCGGGTGGCAAACAGCAAGAAAACTGACGTCTCCTTAACAGCAAGTTGTAAATTTATGCGAAAAATATATGCATTCAAAAAAGAGGACCATTTCCATTTTGGCAGAAAACAAACCTAAAACAAAGGTCAATTTTGTCGTTCACTTTCGAAGAAATCATGGCTGTAAACAGACTCAGGCGGGTAAATGCAAGTAATACACTTGGCGAAGGGGGATAAGCTAAAACCGCGGAGTGCTTTCAAATGTGTCCGCATTTTGGTTAATAAACCAATTCACTAGATAAATTCTCATAGTCAAAAGTACTTTTACAAACATAACACACTAGGGGCGCTCCAGACGTCAGATTTGTTTAAATTTCTATTGAAAACTTCTCGTAAGATAATAGATCGACGAACTGATCATCTTTGGAAAGCTTTTCATAGAGCCTCATCGGATCAATATCAGTATCTGGGCAACTGCCCACCTACCCCTCCCGTAACCCAACATTGGCCTTAACTTGTTATCAATTGACTGTTGTTGAATTAGGGGAGGGGTAGGTGGGCAGTTGCCCAGATACTGATATTGATCCGCCTCATCTTTATGGGATGTCATTACCCTTACAGTTATTGTCAGTTATTTCCCAAAACGCTGTGGCCAGCGCCGTGCGCAAAATGCAAAAATGAAAGTAAAATCAAGGATCTGATCCCAGACCAAGAACCTTCTCAAAGCGCCGTAAATTCTACTTTTGAAACGCTGAGTTATTTCCCGCTTGATCATGATACTGAGATAAAAATTAATATACAGGGGGCTGCTGGTGGTCTGATTTTACAAACTTGTGGCAAATTGAATTTTCTCAATAATTGTCTAAGGGGAGGTTTAGAGGATTTTGGGTTAGGACGAAACAACCTTCGTCTCCTGTATCCTAGTTAGTGACCAGGCTCACGCTCTGGGAACAAGGCGAAGTACTTGGGAACGGTTCTCCACCCCACCCTTCTCCTCCTCCCCTCCACCTCACCGAATAGAGGGAAAAGGGAACTGATAGAAGGACAGGCGGCACCTTTTTTTTTTTTTTTTTTTTTTTTTTTTTTTTTTTTTTAACAATGAATAAACGAGTACAACCCCAGAGTGCTTTCTTGATTTCTTATGCATTAGGAATTTTTATTTTCTAGCGAACAACAAAGGAAAAGTCCAAATAGATAAGCTACATTGTTTATGTTACCGAAATATCGGCCAAAAAAGAAAAGGAACGAATCAAACAATCTCACTGTCAAATAAATTCTAAAACTTCAACCCGTTACCCCGCCCGTTCAACAGACAAGGATAAGTGATGGCTGTGACCAGGGAAAACCTCCAGAATTCTGTATTTTTTCTATAAATGGGACATCTTCAGTTGTATACGTTTTAATCGATCTTGCGTTCTTAATCTTGCAGCCTGACTCCATCAAGAAAATTCAAGCTCTGGCAATAAACCAGGTTTATCTTGGCTAACAAAGACGAATTCTCTTCTTGATCAGTCTGCCATTTCTGGAAATTTTAAAGTACATGGATTCCATTAAGAGTTTGTAAAATATTTGGAATCCGTGATTTTATATCTGTGAATTTACATCCGTGATTTTACAACCGAGATTTTTAGCCGTGATTTTACATCCGTGGGTGAATACATAGTTGTGCCTGCTGTTGATAAACTTTCCTCAAAACGTTAATTAGAAATTATGCCTACATTGTAATGATAGTTTTAAATCTACCTACCGGACTAGTACTGAATCTTAAATATACCCCCCTCCCACAAGAGTTAGGTCTCTATCGGGGCAGACTGTCGACAGAAAGAGAAGATTCTAGACTAATCGACAATTAACTTAAATCTTAAGAAATAATACAATTCACATGATCTATTGCCGTGGGTAACCTCCCGGGGGAGGTTGCTGTCCCTGAGGGGGGTATCCCTGCGGCATTCCATAACCACCGTAGTTGTAGTAACCAGGTGGTAGCGGAGGTGCATATCCGGGGTACCCTCCGTACTGATAGGGCATGTATCCGGGGGGAGGCATAGGTTGATATTGCTGAGGGGGGTACTGTTGGGGAGCTCCTGGTGGAGGAGCCATCGGAGGCGCGCCTGGAGATGGGGCAGACGGAGGTTGCTGCTGCTGCTGTGGCTGGGCTGATGGGGGTGGAGGGCGGCCAGGAGGCACCCGCGCACCTGAAATCAACACAACGAAAAGAAATTGACGAGTCTCTCCTCATTCCCAAGACAGTTACACAGTAAGCCCTCCTTTGTCGTGAGCACTTTCACTATGACCATTTTAAACGAGGAGCAAAGACGCGGTAGAAACCATAACTATGTGTGACCCTATTAAAATGTTTCCTAATGGAATCGTTACAGCTGCTCTTGTGAATAATTGTGTTGATGTCGTTTACTTGAAACTCGACAGACCTGAAGGTTGATGATGTGGTGGCGCTTGAGGTGTTGGTTCCGCCGGTTGGTTTGCTATTGTCTTCTGGAGGTCTCTGAAATACATGTGTGAGAAAAAGAAAGAAAAAGCTTGAAACTTAAAATTTTTCTACTGTTGGTGAAGACACGCATTGTGAGAACTTGAAATTTTTTACGGGTCTCTCCTTAGTACGCATCTTTACCAAACATAATTTTAAAAGTGATCAGCGCGCACATTAAAAATTAACGACTTTTCTATACGATCGTAAGTTAATTCCAGCATTTGATTAGGTTTCCTCTGACTGTTTAGTGGTTCCCATGTATACTCCTGGGTGGAGAGGCACTATGAGGGTGCCTCAGCATTGTTTCATAAGCCAGCACGTGTTCATCGAGATATGAAGCACGCGGAAAGTTTGGAGGACCAAAGAGATACGTAAAAGTAGCTCAAGGCGTGGCCAAGAGCAACCCTTGTTTCTTGAGTATTGATGACGTTCACATACGTCAACAGCATGGAAAATGGGAATATGGACCACGCTTGCGCGATTTAATCTGATTATACAAACTTATAAGATGTATTAAATCATTATCATTTCCCTGCTCGTAAAAGCAGGGAATGATTCTTTCCAGGGATCGAAACAAGAGCACACCCTGTCTCTCTGGAGTCTAGCGCACTATTCATTAACCTTTGGACCCCTTAAAGTGACTAACATCTAATTTCTCCTTACAATATCAACCATGAATCACACATTAGGATCACGAGAATAAACGAAATGATCACTAACTACCCGAGAGAAGCGCCTAATTGTTCAACAAATTCTCCTTGTCAGCACATTAGTGAATGTATAGAGAGCAGTAAGGAGAAAATGCAAACTGATGTCAGCGTGTGAAAGGGCAAGCCGTCGAGTCTCTCACCAACCAATAAAAAGGCTATGAAACTAAAGGCTAAATCTAGCGCTCTCGACTGAATATGGCGGGGCACGGTTTTCTTACCTGGACAACTCTTCACGCTCTGTTTTTCGAGCGAACACAAGATCACTGGATTTCTGTTGGTAACGCACCAATATCGGCGTAAAATCATTGTAAAACTGCAAGAGAACAACAACAGAATTAGTGAGAATCTTAATTTTATTCAAACTATCAACTGCTATCGTCCTTCACCTTTGTTCCTTCTTGTAGATTACCAATTAACTCCATGTAAATGTCATAAGCTGTCGCCAGATCCTTCAGCACAGTTTCCCGTTCAGAGGCTGCCTGTCCAGACTGCTTTTCTTTCACAAACTTATCATTAGCAGCCTTAAGCGGAAAAAAAAGAAAAGAAAAAAAAGGAATTAAAAAAAAACTTCTCAAGTGCGTGAATCTTTAAGGTTTTAAAATAGTTTAAAATTTTGATCGCTTGTCCGACCTTGAATCCCAACAGTTGGTCATTGAGCCTAAAATTACGTTCCATGTTCTTTTCAATCACTCGCTGATTTCTCGCGCTGAATTCCATCTTGTAGCTATCATTCAAATATCACAAAAGCTGAACCATGATTTCGCCATCTAGAAAAATTTAGCCAACATTTTAAAAACCTGTCGAATATTATCCGAGTTTATCTTCGCCCTCTTCAATACATCCACGTTCCTTTTTTGGTCTATTTTTGTGCCTTTGATGTTGATTAACTCTGTCAAACTATTATCACAAGGTCACGCTCTACTTAGAGCGCTTTTCGATTCAAAGTCGTAAAACTAAAAACTAATGTTATCGCAACAGCCAATCAGAATAAAGGAAAATATAGCAAGGAACCAATAAAAACTCAATGTTAACACCAGCGATCTGCCTGAAGCGCGGGAAAACGCGTGTGACCAAGGTGCTATTGATTTTAGTTTTGAGTCTGATTGGTTGAGAAAATGCCGCGAATTTTCTGGACCAATCATACAACGAAGTAAAGCAAATCCACAACAATCCCGGATAATTTTCGACAACAAATTAGGGATTTTCTGTAACTCTTAGATGACTCAAAACATCATTAGCGTAACGGTTTCAACTTCTGCAATTTCTTTAATGAAGTTTGGTCGTGAGAAGAAGGTCGTCACTACTTACTTTCCCCTTAACCTTCTTGAAGGGATCAAAAAGGAACTTATCCTTATAATATCAATACAATTTCAAGCAGAAGAAACAGTATCAACTGAGGGAGATATTTTGATTTAACACGAAATTCACATAGCTAAAATTTAAAGAAATGTCCAGCACACTGTCGAGAGAGCTCCCACTTAGATTTTGGGAGCGAAAAGGTTAAAATTGTTTAGTGCACACTTGGTCTAAGTGATTTCATCTCACAACGATTCCACCTACCTGTACTGCAGCCAGAATCTTCTCCTGTCTCGCAATACTCTCAGAAACACTTTCCTTCACTGAATCAAAGCCTGCACTCAGATTGGAACTGATGATAGCCTCGACATCCGGTATTGTACCATCAGCAGCAAGGGCGCTCAGGAACTTCACAGCTTGAAAGAAAAACAGAGGAAAACGGAAATGTTCGCGTGCTTTTCAAAGTATTACTGATAAACAGTATATGCCGTCTTTCTTCAGCAGTCAGAGAAGGGTTCTTGCTTTGCTTTTCTTCTTTTTCTCTCATCTTTCTGAGAAGGAAATGATTTGGTTCGCAAGATGCGCTATCCGCTGCTCCTCTCCTCTCCACTCTGCTACTCTCCTAGACTTTATACAGCTAATTTTGCGATTGATAAATGTTCGCGGACACCGTTTTTCATTTGAATTTTGCAAACTTTTCACCTAATCACAAAATTTCAAATGTCGCACCGATAGAGCACATTTCACGTGAGTGTCAAAGCCAAAACCAGAGTAATTATTGCGAAGGACCAATCAGAACAAAGAAGACATCACAAGAAACCAATGAGAACTCGAGAAAAAATTAACAAGCTGCCTAAAGCGCGGGAAAACGCGGGTGACCGAGTCGTGATTGGTCTTAGTTTTCTGATTGACCAAGAGGGTGGAGTTTTTTAGACCAATCACAGGCCGCAGCAAAGCTAAAACAGTACGATTCCGTGTTACTTTTGACACTCAACCCAGAATTTCTCCAATTGTGATATCGCCCTCGTATCACCCTTGTATCTCTCAGCTCACCCATATCGTCCTGCTGTACTTTCAGGTCCTGTTCTATAGCATCCCTCTCGGCTTTGATAGTGTCTACTTGCTCCATTAGTTTCCTCAGTTCTTTCACAGCCGGGCTTGAAGCTGAAGAGGATGAAGCAGCTCCAACTTTAGGTATGGCTGCTGCCAACTGCGCCTGAAATGGGATACAAAGTGTTTGGTTCAGTTCTATCCACCAACGAATAAGTTGCGAAACGTCTGCGCATGTCACAGACTTGCTCGGACAAATGGGGTGTGAAAGTAATCGCATGCCTGAGCAGGAAATGAATTTTATTTTCGACTATGAAGTAAAAGTATATACGGTAGTAAAACAGTAGATAGCGTTGAAGGCGCACTCTGATTGGCTACTCAAACCCCGAATATCCTTTGCAACTTCACTTCCAAGCAACTCGCGCGGGATTTGAGCCCGAAAATATTGCAATCATTAGAGGAATAAATGACTTAAAATCACCTTTTTATGCTTTATAAACTCACTGTTTCAGTACATACTAAAACAGGTACTCGCCTCAGTAAGGTGGCTAGCGGTGTCATTGGCTAGCTAGTGTCAGTGGCTAGAGGTTTTTACCTTGCCGCTTCACACCTCGGTAAAAATCCCCCACTAGCGACCTCCACTTCGGTGCACTTTTTTTGAGGCAGAAGTGGCCCTTCTCGTCAAAAGTTTCCACATCGAATCGAAATTCAAAGTATTGCCGCGTTTTTGAGGATTCAAGAAAACCGTGGAACCCTAAGAAAAACCCTCAACCCTAATGACGAGAGCTAACAATAGGCTAAACCCAAAATTTGAAGAATCATTAAAAGTAGCCAAAGAGAATTTAAAAGAAATCCATGTGTACAGACTTGAGGGCGGGAAAAAAGTGAGTGATCGCGTAATGATTAATCGTAATTGGCTACCGCCTTGGCGCGAGTTTTATAGACCAATCAAGGACCGCAGTGAAGAAAACCCAATGCAATCCCAAAATTACTTTCGGCGCTCAACTGACACTTACTCCAATTTAAAGAATGACGTAATACAGTAAAAACCCGCTAGTAAGAACCTAGGTTTTTCCAAGTTTGCCTTCATAGGTTCTTATATAATAGTGTTTACTGTGAAATTAGGCAACCTTGGTTCTTAATATTGACAGTACAGTGTTGTGGTCTTATAACATTGCTGGTGTTCTGGCTAGTTTTTGTTACCTTTTTGTATCGCATGCGATGTACTTTATAAAATCTGAACAAACTCTGGTTTCTAAAAATAAAAACCTGGATCGAGATTTTAGCTTAGAGTGCTTCTTTTAAGAGAGATGCTTAAACAAGTTCTTATTAATTAATTTTAGGTTCTTATACGGTTTTTACCGTAACTCCAAGGGTAATAACAACTGGGTAGCGAGTAAATCTACCCTCTTGCTATAAACTTGCTACCCTCCCGTCGTACAGACACAGCAGTCATTGTACTCCTTACATACACGCAATTCTCCTCAACTTGGTTCCAATTGAATAAAGGGGGTAAGTTTCTAAAGGAACTGTGTTGCTGCGTCGATAGGGGTAAAACCAGATAATTTGGCTTTATCAAATGAGTTGATACTATAAATTGGCCACTGTAAGGGGTTTATAAAGCTGACATATAGAGCTTTAGCCTTTCACTCTACCAAAGGGCTACCGCTTAAAACGTCAGCTTTAGAAACTCTTTACAGAGGCCAATTTACAGTAGCAACTCAGTTGATGTAACCAAATTATCTTGGTTCCAATTGGTCGACTTTCAGGAACAACAACACAAAATTATTTCAAACGAACCTCAAAACTCGAGAAATACAACCGCAATAGACTGGAACTTCAGAATTTCTCACACAAGAGATGCCCGAGCCTCTCCGGGAAAGACAGACCCTCCAAGCTTTCAAAGCTACTCGCCTGCTCTATTCAACTTCCCATATGTCCCATATTTTTCAAAAACAACTGAAAAAATTCATACCTCTCCTTTACTTAGCAGATCCATGTTCCGTCGATGATTATTGTATTTCTCTCTAACAATAGCGTCAGCTCGCACTGCATTTTCCAAAATGCCGCGATATTTGTCAGCTTCCTGTCTCAACTGCATTGTGAGTTCAGCGGACGGTTTTGGAGTCCATTTAGTCGTGAAGCGTTCTCTCATTTGTGTGTCTTGACGTTCCTCCTCGTCCATCATTCGCGTTGCCTGGAAACACAAGAATATTTCGATTGCATAAGGCTCAACAATTGTAAACTATAGCCAATGTTAAATACTTCACATTGAGAAGTAACAAGTAATCCTGCCGATGCAAGAATTTACAGACACATCAGAGGCCTTTGATACCTCTAATTCTTGTAATCTACTATTGGTTTCGGTTATACCTTTTTCAGTTCGTTTCTCTATAAACTTTTGGTGCAAAATCGGTTAGCGCTCAAATGGATCAAAAAGGATGGGGGGGGGGGGGGGAAGGGAGAGGAAAAAACACTTTCAACAAAATTTACCTCGTCCAGGATCTCTCTATTTCTCTCGAGAAGTTCTGGCAAATCCTGCATCAACTTATCGATGGCATTCAAACCTCCCTTTTCGTTCACTGCTGCTGATTTGTCCAACACCGACTTGGGAATTGTCTGTCCTGACAAGTCTTCTATGGCTGCCGGTAAGTTCAGCGACGCAAGAACACTGAAAAGGGAACACAAAAGCCGTGATGTAAACAGCACAATGCTGTGGACCTAAAAGAAATTTCAGCTGGTAACAGAATTTTGTTTCATTTCATTAAGTTTTTTTTATACACTAGAGTAAGGTTAAGGGAAATCCTAATTATCACCGTTTCATTCTCAAGACCGTGGATAAAGCTCTAGTGTGTAGTTACTTTAGCGTTCGATGAAACCTAGCGAATACTGAAAATACTACAATAGTTTTAATTTGCATCATTCCACATTTCGCTCTAACTTTATATTTGAGTGTAAAAGCTAATTTGCAAACCTTTGACGAAACTTACCTAACACAGCGGTCTAACGTGGTACATGCGCGAGGGGATTAGTTCTGGCCGTCCGCGCGCCAATTTCCCGCGCAAAATTTCAAAGGAAAACATAAGAAACAAACGCTACCTCACCAAATATGCGAAAGAAAATTGAAAAGTTCAGAGAAATTTGTTAATAGAAACCAAAGTGAGGAAAAGGGAAAACTCGAGACTTTTCAAACACAAAGCTGATTCAAGTACGGGTGTCCTGTTGATTTACCATTCTGTTTTGAGCTTTACCGAAAAAGTTATAGGCTTTGAAAACACCGTAGCTTACAGCTTGTGTAATTGTTTGTAGCTCGTAAGAGAAAACCCAGTTCTCTTAGCCTGAAAGTACGCCACGCGCAGAGGTTTAACCGCTGTGTTGGCACACCTACATGTGATAACTCTAACAGGAAGTATTTTTCAGTAATGCGACTTTGTTTGTGTTTCAACATATTGCTAATTCAAACCTGTTCATTAATTGCGTTCCTTCGCGAAGTCGGCCAACTTCAAAATTGACGATTTCCCCTTTGCGAGATTCATACGCTTGAAGTGCATTATGGACAGCCATGGGCACCAACTTGGAAAACAAGTCTGTAAACTTGGATGAGGCCGGTTTGGACAGCGGTAAGGACTTGGCGAGAGCAGCACGACCAATGGGCCCTAAGGAATCTATGTCGGGCATTCTCTCGTGATATATGAACTCGTTGTCTTTCTTAAGCTCGGTGGCCTCTCGCTTGATCCTTCCTTCCCACGTCTGAACAGAAAAGAAAACAGTTCTGAGTAAACCTTAACCTCAAAATGTTATAAATTGACTGTTGTTGGTTAGGGGGAAGGGTAAGCGCGCAGTTGGTTAGATTCTGACATTGATCCAAACTATCTTGCCTGTGAGCCCAGCCAGGGTTCGAACCCAGACCGCTCGACCTAGAGTCCAGTGCGCCTGTCAAAAGGCAAGTCTCAAATAATTAACAAAGAGAAGCTTTTAAGTTACCTTGAAGTCGACAAGTCCCATGCTCTGTTTTACAGCATTTGCCATTTGTTGTTCAGCTTGCTGAAAAGCAAAGACACTGTGCTTAAGAAAAACGCCTATCTTGTTGGTTCGTTAATACTCTCTTGGTCGTCATTCGTTCTTCCTCTGGTTTTTTCCTTCGTTTGTTTTAACAAGTGACCAAAAGAGAAATCGTTAAATCCGAACAAAAAGACGTTCTTCGTGAGCACTACAGAAATTTCATTCCACGTATTCGCATCAATGTTTCCTCGACTCAGTAAATAAGGCATTACCTGGCGGGTTATATAGAGCAGTCTCTAGATGAGGTTGGTCCACAAGATATAAGAAATTTTTAAGTGTAGAGCACTAAGTGTAAATTTCTTAGAGTGCATTTTAGTTGAGTGGCGTAAAACCACAACCAAAACCAACGGATAATTAAATAAGCTCTTTGTTTGAAAAGTCTCGAGGTTTCTTCTGCCATCTTTTGTTTCCTTTTAAGAAATTTTAATGAACGTTTCAATTTTTTTACGCATATTTTGCGAGATATTGGCTGTTTCTTATGTATTCCTTTGAAACATTACGTGGGAAATTCGCACGCGGCCAGCCAGAATTGACCCCTTTGCGCATGCCCACATATAACCGCCGTGTTAAGAAGAGCTCGAGTCAGATTTTCCGCAGCCTTTTCCCTCACCCGCTCATCGAACGAAATCCTGTAGCATGCTTATCTCATCCTAACTCACCTTAAATCTTGTTACTCCCTCTCCATAAGCTGCTTTGTCTTTGGCCACTCGAGCCATGTGATACTCTGCTATAGCTTTAAAAAATTCCGATTTAGCCGATAGAATAGAAATCCACTCCTAAAAAGAAGAAATTTGAAAGAGCACCCGTGTTGGTTACAGAATGCATTACATATCATGGTGCCAGACATTCTAATCAAATATACTGACCCAACCAGAAATAAAATGTCTCGGCTACCAGCCATAATGACGACTGTTAGGCACAAAAATATGGGCTAAGAGGCAATTGAGGATTGAAATACAAAATGCAGTCGGTTGTGTCCTCGTGTACCGGTACCCAAAGGAACGAAACATTAACGAACTGCATCACAACTCCATGTATGGATATGAAAACAATAGGAATTCCCCCGTGTACCGGTACACCAGGACAGCCCCATGCAGTCTTTTCCCACATCTGCAACATGCTAATTCATGGCTTAATCATTCCGGAAGATTTGCCCTTTGAAATTCTTGGAAATGGTGCGCCGGCTCGTTCTCCAAATCGCGACCCTTTTTTCAGAATCCATAGCAGTTTTTAAGCCTAGCTTCTTGATCCTTTCACTCCCAAGATCTTATTAGTAATTCTCCTTAGTGTCTGCTACACAATTTTTACGATTTTAGTTTGAAGAATTTCATATTGGATCAAGTTATAATCCCTTAATTGATATTTTTCATCATCCTCATCACTTGTCTGCTTGATATTGTATCAATATTCAAAGGGAAAAATATTGTCTCAGTCACTCTTGGGAGCTAAAGGGTTAAGTTAAACTTGGTTTGCAAGTTCCCTGTGCTTTGTTGTTGCATATTTAAGCTTCACATTATGCAAAAGTTAAGAAATTGTACAATTAAAGGGAAACTGAGCTCAAATGATATCTTTTGGTTATTTCTCTTTCTGAATTATTCATTTGAAGTTGAGAACACAAACGCTTTAAAATACAGTCTTGGTTTGCCTGAAAATCATACACAATTTCAGACCATAATGGTAGCAATCCATACCAATTTGCAGCAGCACATACCAACACAGATTATATGGGATGTAATTCCCACCCCCCTCTACCTCCCCCAGCAAAAAAACAGAATGCCATCACAAAACATGAAACAAACAAATCACAGAAATTGTTGTCACAACTTATTACCTTCTCCAGCATTTGTTTCACTGACTGTATTTGAGCAGAACTAAGTGCACTCTTGTAAAAGTCTGCTGCCTGTGCAGCAACCTTAGCGATCACGGCATCCTTCATTTTATCTACAAAATATGCAAATTATTAGTCACAGAATGATGCATTTCTTGCTATCATTTCCAATTTATGGCATGCACATTTATCATCACATAAACAAATTACACTTTAACCCTTTAACTCCCAGAAATGAGCAACATGTAACTTCTCCCTCAAAAATCCATACATTATCCAGCAAACAGGTAATGAGAATACTGGCAGTCCAGCACTCAAACAGATTACCCAACCAGACAGCGGTTAAAATACCAAACCCGCGTGGGGAATGTCTAGTAAATTCTTCCGTACTTTCAAACCATCAGATTGAGCAGATTCCAATTTCCTCTTTCAGTAATACTGCTGAATCATTCATTAAGATCATGAGAATAACAGAAACGATTGTCAACCTAAGAAGCTTTTATTGATGAACAAATTCCCCTTGTCAGTAACCAAAAGAAATGTGAAGAGAGAATATAGCTACTGATGTTAGGATGAAAAGGGTTAACCAAATATTTCAAGTAACTTGGATGACATTACCTTGCTCAGTTTTGTTCCAGATACTTTCCTGGCCTTGAGCTAACATTACAGCACCACAAAATGTCAACATCTCCACAGATAGGTCAGGTGTTGGTACCTGATTTAGCTGGGGAAACACCGCATCCTTTAATTGTTGAAAGGCTCCGCTGGCTGACTGTTAAAGCAATCATTTGATAAGAACAAAATTGTTGTCAACAAATTTTATTTATCTGCATGACAACAATCTCAGTAATGCACTGATCAGTTCAAAGCTTCAACATCCTCCCCCCTTCCCTGGGCAATCTACAGGCATTTGATCATTGTCGGGGGGGGGGGGCAGGGAAATTAAACAGGAAGTGTAGGGTCTTTCCAGCAGAATACAAGCATTACATCTTTAATTAAACATGGAGATGTTCAAGATAAATAGTTCATTTTTGTGAGCAAATGGCTCAGAAGAAAAAAGGCCTACAAGGTCTAGGTTTTAACTTGTTGAAGTGTAGAAAGTCATACTAGCTGATTCAAACTTGGACAAGAAAAAAAGGGGGTGGTGGGGGGAATTTGAACATAATTCTTGCCCCCAGGGTGGAAATTTGAAAAAAACAATTTACAAAGGTTCAAATACCAAGGGGGTTATCTTCATGTTAAAATACAATAACCCTTAAGAGATCCTAGAGTACTTTGTTACCTAGTAGTATACTACTGCCAATATTTACATGTATCTTGACCCATTGTCAATAAAACATTTCTCAGAATAAACAGACTTAAGTGTGATGTGCTCACCTGGAACATTTTTGCTGCAGTTTTTAATCCTTCATCTGTTTGGAAGTTCTGAGCTGCTGCAATTTGTCCTTGTAAAACTCCGATATTGAACAATACACATAGTCGCTCATACTGCAGACTTGACATTGCTGTGGACAAAGAAAAATAAAGTCTTTGAACAAACTTCTAGACATAAAACACTCAGTAGATATTTATCTCACTTGAGTTTTGACAAGGTCACCTTAATCCTGCGCATTTGGTTCTGATACTTCACAGGTGTACAGTAAAATAAAATTGTTTATATACTTATAAATCGAATTAATTAGTAGTAATTATAGTAAGTACTAGTTTATTTTTTTTTCAAGATTTTATCGGCAGCCTAAAATTTAACTTCCAGAATACACTTTCTATTACAAGAGTCAGGTGCATACGGCAAAGATTTGAAGTACAGCATCATCATGTGACTGCAGCCACATTTGTATAAAAGCTACAAATTCTTTCTAAAAATGAAAAGCGATAATACTCACAACTTTTGCGATAACCAAACAAGGATCCTTTGTCAAATGCATCATACCAAGTATATGAGATTCTTATCTAAAGGGGAACATATCAGAATAAATAATTATTCAATAAACACCAACAGCAACTATGTACTTGAAAAAATTATTGATCATCATGTAAAAAAAAACCCCTGTTGTAGAAAAAAAGACATGAAAAACATAATATTCAAACCTTGCTCTAAAAAATGACATACAAGAACTGAAAAAAATATTGCATTTCCACTGTTCATTAATTACCTGTGATTCTGAAACAGGAAGTTTACCCTCCATTGCCTCCAGTTGATCATAGTACCTAGTAAAAACATTGTTAGAGTAAATTATTGTTGAGACCCTTGTACGTGGTATACCTGCTGGTGAGCCACACCCTAATTTCGGGAATAATATTCAAATAAAGTTCCATTAAAAGTGAACATTTTATTTCTGGAGCCAAACACTGGATTAATGTAATGTCCAGTCCACTCTATCAAAAATAATGCATTTTGAACTTGCTACAAAAATGCAATTTCAATATCTTTATCAAGTTCATGCCTTCACTAATTTGCTCCTATCCCTGATGACTTTTCATTATCATTTAGCCCAGACCTTTACCACTTCACCCCCTGATATTTCAAATTGTCTCCTAGTAGGAGAACAAGCTCCTTTTCTGAAAGATTTGACAGAGTGGGATCTTTAATGTTAACCCTCATTGTTTTGATCCTCTGATAAACAAACACTTCCTGCTCTCAGGAAACAAGTTTTTTATTTGTAAACTTACTGGTAGAGATGGGGGTCAACTTTCTGTATTCAATGGGACAAACTCATCAAGATGGGTTAAAGTAGCACAAGGGACCAACTTGCAAAGTGGTGGAACATCCATAAACCTATTGGACCTACACTTAACCTTTTAATTCCCAGAAATGATTAAAACGCAACTTCTCCCCATAACATCCATATGTTATCCAGCAAACAGGTTATGAAAATACCCAAAGTTATCAGACAGAGGTAATTATCTCGATATAACACCAAATTCTTGTACCTAATGTACAAGGAAATCAACAATCTGATCTTGAGAGTCAAAGGGCTATGCAACAACTTATCTTCAACAAGGCATAAACAACGAGAGAAAAGGTATTAAGAATGATAATGATAAATATATGCTGGGTATAAGAAATCCATGTTTAGCACAAAATATAGTTGGACATATTTTGTAAACAAAAAATTTGGCAAACATTTTCAATTGATTTCAGTCATCAGCAGGTTAAAAGCTAGAATGTTAGTGTTTGAATGCATAAAAGAATAATGCTAGCCCTAATCATCAAAACATTTATTTTCTCTAAATAAAAAACAATTACAATGACTTATTTCACAACTGTTCCTCATGGGAGTCATCTAGAGTACTATATTTGCATTCAAACACTAACATTATACTGTTCTTCTATTTCGTGATAATTCAAAGTCGTGACATCTTGTATTTTGCATAATACAAAAGTCAATGAGGTAACCTCGCAAAGAAATTCATTATCCAACTTACTGCTACGATGAAAACGATACAGCTGCACGCACTCGTTCATTCTCGAAAACGGTTTTCATGATTTTATCATGATGCTTAATGACGTTAGAGTATTTTTCCATTTATTTTTCATTAAATCTGCCAAATTTGAAAGGAAAACATAACGTAAAAGATAGTTGAAAGAAAAGCCTGATGAATGTATCTGACTGCATTATATTGCTGTCATGTTGCATTAAAATTTATGAATGATATAGCCTTTAACATAGCAGTTTTGGATTTAACGAGAAAGGTAACTCATGCCGTTTAGTGGAGAAGACATGTTGTTGAATTGAACTGTATCCATGAAAATTTCGAAATTTGCATGTAAACTGGACCTAATTTCTATCGATGTTACGGTAGATAGTGTCAGCACATACAAACGGCACTTCGAGCATAGGAAACATACGAGAATTCGCACACTGTAGTCCCTTCCTGCTGATAAGTCGCTCTTACCTGAGCATTGGCTCCAAAGCAGATTCATGTTTATCCAAAGTCTGCATTACAACAGTGTTTCTCAACTTCGAAAGCTCAGAAATGGCGTCTTCATTCTCTTCCGCCGTCTCAGCAGAGAATGTGTTCTTGATAAATTTTTCCAATGGCTTTTTATAATCAACACCATCGGATCGCTTCAATGGAAAAGTGATCCAGCCAGCCATTTCCCTAAAAATAACTAATTTGTCTTGTACATGAAGCTGTGTTCATTCGAATCCAACGATCCTTGGGCGAGAAGTACTGGAAGCTATTTTTGGAAGTTTACAAAATGTCGACTCCAGTCTCCCCGGTCATTAGCACGAGAACCTGACGTCATTGACATTAGGTAATAACTATATCGGGAGAAGGAAAAAGCAAAATTACTGGTCCTTCAAAATTTTTTTATCAGTCGAAACAGTAGTTGGCATTTTGAACAAAGAATTCCTATATCTCTTTGAATTTTAGGATCGATACCAGCATGTTTTGACAGAAATAGTCAAAATTACAATGAATCAATTGTTGGCACATGTCACGACTTTGTATCGTACCCAGCCACCCCCACCTGAAAAAGCAATAACAATATATTAACAAATATTTGATAAAGAAAAAAAATTCTGATGCTTGTTGTCGTATTCAAGAGCTCCACTAGACTGCACAGCGGTTTCTCTTGCAATTTTGGCCCGGAAACGGATGACAAAGATGCGAGAGCAGGGGAGAAAACGCTTAGAAATCTCTCTTATTCCTATGTCCCACTTTTTCCAAAAACGTTTACGGAATGAAAAAGACTAAGCATGCTGAAAAATTTAAGCTTGCTTTTTTAAGCTGAAATCCAATCCTCCGAAAATACCGGCTACTAACACAGTGGTCAGTCGTCGCCCATGCGTGAGGTATCAACTTTGGCTGGCTGCGCGTCAACTTCTCGCGCAAAATTTTAAAGGAAAGCATAAGGAACAACCTCTAGCGCATAAAATAATAAAAAAGTTCCAGGAGATACTACTTAAGGAAAATATCATGCCTGAGTGTTTGACTATCGAGTAACAATTGCGGAACATACTTGGTATATTTCCTTACTGTTCCTCTGTGGCTTCTAAGTTTAAAACCATAGTTACGTTCCGTAAACCCGAAATTTACTGTTAATCAGAGCTAACCATATGTTACTTCTTCCTAGCAGTAAATTATCAAAATATATATTTTTTCTTTTATGATAATGTCACTGTGTTTATGGTGCTGCTTGTTTTGTGTCTCTGTAACAATCATCCCAAGGGCTCTCATCAATATCACTACACCAGACACTGCTGCACAGGACGGTAAGCAACCTCGTCAGGATGTATGGATTGGCCGTTAAATCTTCTCGCTCCAGCTGATTTTCAACGCATCAGTGAAATTTAAATAGACTTTTGATAGTTGAACAGTATCGTTCCTAAAGTTGACGTCCATACTCTCAACTCATAAGGAAACGAGAAGCGGGCGTGGAAAATAACTCTGTAAGCAAGATCAAGGTGGACTGCAAATAACACTTCGAGAGCTGGTCTCTGGAAAACCAACTGTACCTACCCGCCACAAAATCCTGTCCAGGAACTTCGCGGTCTCCATAAACCGATGAAAGAAGATGATGGAGACCTTAACAGGTGTTCTGTTTGTACGCTTATGGTATCAGCTGTTCTTCATTTACTTCCTTGCATTCACGATAAGAAGCCTGTTTCCATAAATTACATGATATATGAATGAGAGAAAGGAACATATTTATATCGAGCCAGTTCTGCAGTCTTCAGAGCCGCGTAAGCAGCCAAATCGTTTGCATCAAACATAGAATTAAGCTGACTGTACAATGACTAAGACCGACTGGCCGACTCGTTACCTGACGCGTGCGATCCATCGAAAACTGACGCGAACAAAAGAACAAACACGATTGAAAACAGATACCGTAACGGTTTATCCTTCTACACCAACCTTTAGTCTTAGAATTAGATCACGTTGTCTTCTATGTTGTGAAAGTCGTTATAACGCGCTTAAAATCCCTGGTGACCAGTTAAACGATCTCTTTCGCGAAAAGCACATCTGTTAAATGTTTGTCTGTTTCCTTGGATACATTTTAAGGGCTCTTGTTTCGTCACTTGATCTCACTTGAGTGGTAAGTCGACCAGCGCGCGCCAGGGTTAACACTGAGCAAGCGTGCGCTAGAGTTACGGCCAGCGTGTGCTAGGGAACTGAGCCAGCACGCGCTGAGGTTAATTCGTGAGACCAGCGTTTAACTGGGCCAGAACTAAAAGTAAATTGTTATAGTTTCTGCTTTGATACTTGTTTTGTACCTTTCGGGCAGCTGCCTTATTGTCATACACACAAATTAATCAACTGGACAATGGCATGCAACCTCGAGTTCCGTACTTTCTTTTTGATTCTGTGATCTCCCATTATTTTGAAATAAAATAAATCGTTAGGATATGATTTTCATTTCAGAGCGAAGTGCTAACGCTCGAAACGTCAGCTTTGAAACTCTTCATGGTGGCCAATTTATGTTATCAACTCAGATGATAATACCAAATTACTTTGTTATACTCTCCCACCGACGCAGCACCATAGTTTCTTCAGAAACTGACCCCCTTTATTCATTTAGGATCAGTATCATTTTGTCACTATGCTATCTACGATCGAATCAGCAAAGTTACGGCGCCTTAACAACCAATCAGATGGAACTGAACCGAAGACCAATCGCAGCTTGGTCAGGCATGTTTTCTCGCATTTGAGGCAGTTTGCTCAAACCTCACTTAATTTTAATTCATATCTAGTTACCAACTGACTCTTCTGCTATTCTTTGTTGTTCTGCGTTGTTCGTTTAATAACATCGTTAGTAATCACAATTCTATGAAACGAAACTTTCATCTCTTCCAGGGTAGAGATCGGTCATCATTTATAGCCTAAAAGGGGGACGGGAGGGATTTTGGAGGATTTTTATTACGTCACAATAAAATTTATTTGATCCTTCCACAACTCTCTTCAACCTTCTTACGATCTTCTCCCATTGGTTGATTTAGTATTATGGAAATGAATGTTAGTGTCTGAATTAAAAGGAAACTTAAAAAAATTTGGGCACAGGTTCCGCTACAGATTTATCACCGAACCTTTTAATGTGTTCTCCTTGATTTTTGCAACATGGCTTCCATGCTGCTCGTTCGATGACAGCTGCGCTGGTCAGTTCTTAAGAGTTTTTATGTCAATGCAGCAAGCTGTTTTAATCATATGTTCGATCATTTTCATTGTCTTTGTTTTTTTTTTTAGGTTTCTTATGTACTAAGTCTAAGTGTCTTCTGTTTTACTCTTGGCACCTAAACCTAAAAAGAATCTTTATCTTCATCTTCATTTCTTGTCGTCACACTTTCACAGCCACTTTCGCACGAGAAACTCGAACAGCTCGTGTCACTGCACATTTCCCAGGACGAATCTTCACTGGCTGTCTCGCTCCACCGTCCACTGTCGGACGCTTCTGTTGACTGTCCTGCGACACCCACCTCAAAAACATCATTCTCGTCACGTGACAGAAGAATCACGTTACCGTCAGGATCACGAGTCAGCCACGTGTTTTCCCCGTTTGGAGTCAGCACGAGTCGAAGTTTCTGTTTGACATATAGCACACTGCGGATGTTGAATTTAAGCGCGCTGAGCCTTGATGCGTGGGGTTGCAGACATGGCGAATACTTCAAGGATAGTTTTATTTCAAGGCCCGGTTGAGAGTACAGATCAAAAGAGCAGAATCCTGGTTTACTTGCACTTGTTTCACACCCTGTCAATATGCTATAAAATTCTTTCATTTTCTCAAAATTGTTCACGAAAATGTTAAACCTGAGTTGCTCGTTTCCATAATGCACCGAACAGACAGTCCACAGCGGAAGGTCTGGAGACGACCCGTAATAATCTTGGCGAGCGACAGTGCGCATATCCATAGGGTTGGCTAATTCAATCTTATGATGGAAGCCCCAAGGGGGAGACTGCAGGTAGCCTTTTGCAAATCCTGCGTTCAGCTGATACTTTGACTCCTCGCGCAAAAACAGCACAACGCTTAGTGATTGCGTGTTTAATTGTTCCTTAGCCAAATGACTCTCGTTACCTCTCCCTTTTGGGTCATCTTGTTCAAACCGCGTGATAAACGAATTTTTATCGCTTTCTTCGATGTGAAGCAGCTGAAATGTGGGATCAATCCATTGGAGTAAAGGACCGTAAAGAGACTTCAACTTCGGCACCTCATCTCGAGGGAGCCTAATTTCCAAGGTGCAAATGTAAGGGTCCCTTTCGCGCCAGTGAACTCGAGGCTCAGTAACACCGTGATCCTGTCTTTCATAAGTTTGTGCCACGTTGGGTTCACCTTCTACTTCATCTTCGTCATACCAAGGCATATTTGAGACTCTTAAACTGAAAACGAGAGAGAGAGCGCAAATAAATGCTGTGATTGAACCAAGCTTATAAGTTTTAGTGCATCTGAAAGTACGTTAACTTATAATTTATTTCTCACCTTCGAGAGAAATTTAAAAGCCCATAATCACGGTAACTTAAATAAAAACTTCAGGCCCCGACAAATTTTGAACCCAAACCTTTCAGATACCGGCTGATAATAAAAGTTGATAAAACCTAAGCCATGCACGAAGCCGTATACTGTTACCAGTTATCAACTACTCACCAAAGTGGAGGTGGCAAGTGGCGGATATTTGCCGAGTTGTGAAGCGGCGCGGTAAATATCCACCGCTTGTCACCGAGACTGTTGTGAATAGCTGTTTTAGCACATTCTAAAACACCGACTTAATATAGCACAAGAAGAAGATCTTATCTCGTTATTCATTCCGGCAATGATTACAATATTTTTAAGCGCAAATTCTGCGCGCGAGTTGCTCGGAGGTGGATAGCAAAAGATATTCGGAGTTTGAGTAGCCAATCAGAGTGCGCCTTCAACGTTATCCACTGTTTTACTATATGCTATCTATCTGCCAGCCTGCGTGTCTATGTATGAACATTTCAAAACCATGATACATTTAATGTGTTAAATTTTAGTCCATACGAATATTGTGTGAATATCTTTTAATTGTTTTTACGAAGACCATTTCACTTATTTTTGTTCCACAGTTTTAAATGATTAAGTAATCTTAGCCTTTTATACAGTAAGGAGAGAAGTTCTTAACAATGAGAGTATTCTTATAGTCAAGAAAAATTACGGTACAAAGAAGCCGCTTTCTCGTCTTTGCGTGAAGCTTTTACGCAATTAGAAACGAA